TTTTGTGGTTATTTTAAATTAATTTTTATTCCACATGTCATTTTATGGTTTTTTCATTTTATTAAATTCCAAATAGTATTTAAATATAATAATAAATGCATATCAATTTCATTAATAAATTTCAAAATTACTAAATTAAATATTCATTAATTTTCTTTATTTATTTGTCTAAATTATTTGATTAAATTTAAAAGAGAAAAAAAAAACTTTAATTTTTATAATTCAATATTTTCTTACTTTTCTTATAAATTCAAACTTTTCAAATGTTTAGAATTTTGTATTTAGTTTTTTTCAAGAAACACATGTAATACATGGGTCTCATACCTAATATATATATATATATATATATATATATATATATATATATATATATTTTTGACATTTCCAATGATCATTTTCCCATCCACCAATCAAATTTTGCGGCCAAAATGGGGAGATGTGTGGCCAAACCACACCCAAGACCGCATTGGTGGTGGTTGGGGGGGTGTTCCCCTGCCTATGTGGCAAAAAGCGCGGTTTCCACTGCGTCACTCCCCATGTCTAAAAAAAATATTAAGGCTCCTTAAAAGTGAGTTAAGTAACAACCAATTGAAATTGATTTAGTCTTCCAAGTCGCAAGCCGTCTACGAAACATGTCCACCAATCCTTGTCAACCTGCAATACGATACACTAGATATCCAACTTGAGTACTCAAATACTTAAAGGGAAAAATAGCAGCCCTACACCCTGTGATCCTAGCCATAGAAGCAACCTATGCCGAATTCACCCCCACCCATAACAAATTTGATAATGAATTTTGTTGAAGACACATGTATGCTAATAGTGCACCAAAAACCTTTAAATCCTATAACAAACAAAAATTTAATTTTTTTCATTGCAAGCAAATAAATTTTAATATTAGATTTAGTTTTTATAACAAACATACCACAACAAACATTTTCAAGTTGAACTTGTTTGAAAAAGGATCATGTGATTTGATCTAATGTTGGAGTACATCTCAACTAACATTTTTAAAAGCTATAAATTTTAATCGTAACTTTAATCCAAAAACAAAACTAAATTATTGTTGTTATAAAGTTATAATCATGAGTTTTTCAAGTCTAGATACAAATAAACAAGAATTAAAATTTTTTCGTAAAATACTGAAACAATCTAAAAAATATCTTCTAAATTTAAAAATAGATTCTAACATATCAATAATTAATTGTATATCCAATATTGAAGCAATACATATAATAAATAATAGTATAAATTGGAAACAAGAACAAATAAAAAACCTTGAAGATAAGATAACAAAATTAATTTGTTAAATATGTTTCAAAAAATAGAAAATCATTAGTAATAACTACTCCACTAGTAAAAAGAAAATAAATATTTCATTTACAAAAAACACACAATT